TGGTTGAGTATTGGTATTTTTAGATGAAACCAAGTGACAAGCTGACTAACCAGCAGGAGATCCTGAGGCCCGGTGGTACAGACCCTACTCTGACTCAAAATTGTTGCATTCAAACATATGCTGGAAGGCAAACATACTCCCAGCTACAGGTCTCAGTTAAACAAGTGGCCTGGCCGTGCCTGTCACTGAGTTTGCCACTACAGAGGAGGTAGTTTATGCTCCACATGTTACCATCTGTATGTGCTAGTGCATTCTTTTGAAGTTTTGGACTTTTTTAGGCAAAGTCAGTTTTCAGAACAAAGTATGTGGTAAACAAGATTCCCTCTAATGCAATGCAGAGGTGCCCTGGTTTTATTCACTGCAGAATAAAAGAGCCCAACCCACACTGTTGCTGATACTGATGCATCCACTAATATAATGCTGCTTGGTTTTACTTATAATAACTTCAAATTGTATATAATATTCTCCTAAATATATATCTAATAGCAAAAAAGAATATATTAATGAGATTATTGAAACATGAAGCCTTAAATAGGGACTTGTTTTAAAGTTTACCAGTGGTTTTCTGATCTTTAATTCTATTTACTGTATGGAAAAAAATAAGGTGGAAAAAGAATGAGTGATGAAGCTAGATGAAGTAACAGACTTTGGGGACAAAATGAATCAAAATGTCCACGTTGTAAAATATATTATTTTTATAATGAAATGTATGCAATGGATGAAATATATAATGAAATCCAGATTTTTCATTGGGAAATACAGAGATCAAAATTAGTTACCGATACTGATGAACACTAATGATTAACATTTTTATTCTAAGGTTTCATAGCTGGAAATTCCTTGGTCAGCAATACATTGATACTGTCATGAAACACAAATTCCCACAGGTCATCTTTGGTGCATTAAAGCATGATAAACAGTGTATTTGTGTCATCAAAAATACCGACTGCTTGAAATACACTCTATATGTGAGTTTCTACTGTTCTTTAACGCAAAACATCTATCATCAGCCACTGTCAGGGACAGGATGTTAGGCTAAAAAGGCTTCTGATATGATACAACACAGTTGTCCTGTGTTCCTGTGCTCTTATCTTGCTTTAAAAAGGACGCAACTCTATTTCTGCACCAAATTCTGCTTTCAAGTGCATCGCCACAGCAGCATTGCCTTATGACAACAAGCACAGATGACAGTGGCTAGGCCTGTATCTAAAAAAGATTTGGCACCCTGTCTTACACTCAAAGGAGATAAAAGGACATTTTCTAGATGTGTTTGTTAAAGAAAAAGCATCTATTAGGGACCCAACAGTACAAACTGTAGATACAGTGACTGGGAAAAGTGTATAACCTTTCCCTCCCCTTAAAAAATCTTCCCTTTAATGTTACATCATTCCACTTTACCTGGACTGGGATTAAATGGAGGAAGTAAACCAGGTTGGAAACAATGCAAACAGTTCTGTAGTCCTACCACAAGTAGGACTTCATTTAGGAAATTGTTCAAACAAATAGTGATTAATACAAAAGTGCCTGCAAAGCTTTGAAACGACTGCCTTCTTTCAGGAAACAAGGAATTTGCATTTAAACAAACTCCTCTGCGTGTAGATAGAATAAACTGACAGCATTAGTCTAAAGGGAAAATTATTTGGCATCAAACCATCAACACTTCAATTTTATTGTTCTCTCAAGGACAGAGATGGAAGATTCCTTTGTAAACATAGTTCTTAATAGGATAATTTTCTAATGAGCGATAGCAGTTTGTGATAACATTTAATCTTACACAGTCTTTCTGCAAAATATATGTGATGCTCTGGGATTGAAGAAAGTAGGATATTTTTATCTTCAAAAAGACAACGGCTGTCGCACAAGGAGGACACTTCACCTGACAGACTTGGTCTCGCCCCATCTCAGGAATTGTGCTGTGCTTTTAGAACTATTCAGAAGAAAATCATTTTTTTGTGAAACAGTTAAGGATGAAAACGTGTTTTACTATACACACTTGGCATGGTCAGACATGATATTCTTGTACCAAAGCCAGGGCCACGGAGGATCAGAACAGGCTGAGGAACTGCTCAGAAAACTGTTATAGTCTTTTGATGAAACAAAAGGAGCAAGTGGGGTTTTGCTGCGGTCAGTCCTGAGCCTGAAGTTTAAGTAATCTCTTCTGAGGGCTTAACTCATCAAAGATTCAGCACGAATGTTAGCAAAACATTCACAATGGGGGGACAGCCAAGCACTAGATTAACTGTGGGCTTTGCAGTACCGGCTTCTCCCATACATCTCCCCAGGCTCTTACCTGCACGATCTGCTAAAAATGCAAAAATGGTACAAGCTGCTGGAAAAGGGAGAAGGTCTTGGCACGGGAAAGAGAGGAATTGTGCTATCTGACAGTTGGGTTCCTGACTGTGGACTACAGAATAGGGCTTTTACTATGTTCCACATCCCATGTGGGAATGATGGGGCTGCCGTTAAAGTGGGCAATACCTACGCACTGTGCTCAGAAATCAGCACACGTATGTCTGGGAAATGCTTTCTCTGCCACATAGAAGCAGTAACCCATACTGAGCTAAGTAACTAATAGTAAGCTGAGCTAATTAGTTTAATGAGCTAATACAAAGTAGCTACACCAGAGAGTCTCGCTTTGATGTTAATTCCCTCATGTAAGGAGTCCTTTTATGTTCTGGGCTACTGTTTAAACTCCTGGACCAATTTGCCAGCCTCTGTTAATTTAAATCTATTATTAATGAATGAGAAAGCATGTGGATGCGGGTGCAGTGGAGGAATTATTTGTTTTATTTCACCCTGCCATATTTTTTCCCTCCAGGTGTGTCTCAGGGCAAACAAAAACCAGGGAAGGAAGTAAATAGGATGAAGCTCTTTCTGGAGCTTGTTATTCTGGTGCTGCAAACAGCAGTGGCTTTTTGATCCTGTACATCCAGTTTACTCTTTTGTATTGTCCAGTGTGTATTGTTAAGCGCAGCTCTTCTACCCAGCTCCTATCACTAGCACGACTACACTTAGTCATGTCCTTTACTCTCTTTTCATATTCTGCTTGCTCTTAGCTCTTGGTCTTACCTTCTATACTGAGACAAATTTCTATTGCTATGATCTATGTGGCCAGAAGTCTGCATACATGTTTCTTCGACAACTTAAATGCACAGCTGATGTCTCCTTTAAGAACAATCCTATGACCTTTTGATATTAACTATAGAAAAAGCACCTGTGAGCACATTATTAGTCAAATAACAGCTCTAGAAATATTAGTATCATTTCACATTTTAAGAGTTTAATAAGAGGTATTTTATCAAAGGCTTTTTCATTTTAGGAGACCGTCTCACCATGTTTGTTTCCCAAGTCCCACAGAATGTGAGAAGAAAACGTACCAGATTTCTCTGGTGTCCTTCCAAATTCCAAAACAATACTTTCTATTAAAGTGGTGTAGGGCTTTTACAGTTGCTGTGTTTAATTTTTACAAGGTATGTGTTGATGGCACAAAGAGGAAGGGGATATATGTAGAGGAAGCAGCAGTATAATGCTAGATTAAGGGTTTAAGATACGTGGACTCTCTGCAAAATCCTGTTATTAAATTCAGGGTGCTTACTACTACATCTAACCCACACAATCACTGGGTGTGACACAAAGGAAATAGTGTATCAAAGTATCTGGTATATTACCAAGAGTTGTTGAAATTATGCAGAGCTCTCCACATCAGCTACAACGGGGGAGATGTACATGACCAGAGGAGAGCTGGCTTGGTACATCTTCTTCTTTAAACAGCAGGAAAGGGAAGATAAAGACTGGAATAATTCAAGTACTGGAAATTTTTAGCTCAGATTAAGCTTTATTAATTGATTGACTTTCCCAAGTGGTGAAGGAAACGTAATTACAATGTGGACAGAACATGAACTACTATTCAACTATTAAAAGACACTCTAGAAGGTCCTACTTTATTTGTGGATAACCAAGCATTCACCACGTTTTCCTGCTGCACTGCTTATGGAAAACCATAGACAAAACTTTAGGTGGCCCAAAAGTGCGTTAAATGTATCAGGAGTCAGTATTAAAATCTTTAAACGATATAATTAACTTCCTGGAACTTTAAAATGAACATGCACATTGACCACTTTTCTCCTCCTTGCCTGTAAATAACCAGGAGCAATTATTTTCCTTCAGTCCCCCAGAAGTGTTCACCAGTTGTTCTGACTAAAGTCACTACACGAAATTGCCTGTTTTAACATCTTAATGTTCTGACATACAGCATGAACTATTGAGGACAGGGCTATGACATACCTATAGGCTTTGTAATGAACACAAGGCCTCAAATCAGATTCCGAATTCTTCGTGCTCCTACAGCCAAGCCACCAAATAATGCCTTTATGTGATTTCTATCACAGAGTCTGTCAGTACTGATGAGCTGTATCGGACATCCCACTGTTTATTGACCAGGTCTTCTTACGGATGGAAAACAAGCGCTCAGGGCTGCGCGTGGACAGTAACAGTGTTTTGAGTGCTTTGGGCTGTGGTGCTTGTAGTCACCAGCTCCAACCGATACACAGGCAAGGGCTTCCCAGGCCACAGGTGTTCACCCCAAGAAACAAAAAGTTCATTTCTTGACTGCCATAACGTTCACTGAACTGAAACCCCGACCCTGCATGAAGCTTTTCAGACTTCACCTACTCGCGTGCCCGGAGCAGCGCGATGAGAACCTTGTGAAACACGGTCGGCTTCACCGCACAGCCGATTCACTATTTATCGCTCTCTGAAAACGCCGAGCTCGCTTCACGCCCGCCCCGTCGGCGTTTCTACGGCGCCCACCGCTACCTGCCCGCAGGCGGGGGGATGCGGGTGAGCGGGGACTGCGCGGGAGCCGGGGACACGCCGGGCACCGTGCGGGAGGCCGGGGCTGAGGGCGCGGCGGGGCTGCCCGGTGCGGGCCGCAGGGGCGGTGCGGTGTCTGCCGCTCCCCGCACGGCACCGTTCGCCCCCCCCCCCGGGCGAGGGGCGGGGGAGCGCTGTCCCGGCCGGCGCTGATCTCACGCTGCCATTGGCCGCTGTCTGCGCTGACGTCACGATCATGATGAGAATTAATGATCGGAGGCGCTGATTTCATTGTGTGACGCCGGGACCGACCCAGCCGAAACCGGCTGAATCCGGAGCCCCGCGCGCCCGGGCCGGCCCCGCACAGCACGGTAAGCCCGGCGCGCTGCGCAGGGCCGGTGGGCGGGCGCCAGTGAGTCCCGGGGGGAGAGGGGGGCGGGCGGGGCCCCGCACGGGGGGGGGGCGCGGCGGGCGGGCGGGGACGGTGATGATGATGATGATGATGATGGTGATGATGATGATGATGATGATGGTGATGATGATGATGATGATGGTGATGTCCCTGGGCCCGCAGCCCCGAGGGGGGGACCGGCGGTGGGGGCAGGGCGGCCGCGCGGCCCCGCGCTCGCACACCCTCCTCCTGCCTCCCCCGCGGCCCCGCAGCGCCCGGCGCCGGGCACCCAGGGCCGGGACTCTGCGCATGCGCGCAGGAACGCGGTGCGCTGAGGAGCCGCCTGCGCAGCCTCGGCCGCGGTGAGCGTGCGCGCTGCCCTGTGCCCCCCCCTTGGTGCCCTGAGCGCATGCGCGGGAGGGTCGCGCTCGCCCCGCTGCGCGCCTCCGCGGTGCTGTGCCCGTGGGCCGGGGCCGGGGCAGCTCCGTGCGGCCGCTTGGGCAGGGGTAATGGTGCCTGTCGGTGTGAGGCCTGTGCGGGGCAGGAGGCGGCCAGCTGCAGGCGTTGTCAGGGAACAGCTCAAGCCGTGTTTCCCTCGGGGACTCCGGCCTCTCAGAGGCCCCGTTTTGGGGCCAGTTACAACCGCTTATGGTGGCAGTTGGGCACGGTGTCCTTTTGCTGTCAAGATTCTAGCTCTCAAGTGCTTGGAATGGTATGAGGGAGAAGTGCACTTGCCATGCAGCCTGTGGTGGTGTGGAGGGCTCACCCTTGGAAGAGCTTGTTTGGCACATGGGCATGCCCACTGAGGAATAAGTGATCCCCAAACCTGTTCCTCTCCGTTCTGTTAGCCTAAGGCTGCTGGTAGTATAGGTAAGAGCATGTGTAACCAATCATAGTGGTTCTGTATCCTCTAAACGAGTTCTGAAGCAGCCCTCGCATCTTCAGGGTAAATTTGTATGAGTATTCCTTTCCTTTTCTGCCACGGGCCCTACAAACCGTGGTGTGTATGCTTAATTTAAAATGTGGTTTGTCCAGTTGAAGTCAGAAGCCTTATTTGCATGAATAAAGTGAATAAACTTGCAGAGCTGTGGTCATGAGTTATTGTGTTATTAAGTTATTGAGGGCTGTCCTAATTTGTTCCTAATTAAAGGGCTTCGTTTTACAGGTAGAACCGTAATGCAGTGTTAAAACTGCTGTACTTAGGAGGGAAGCAGTTGTGCTGCGAGTCATGGATATTTAAAAGTAGTTTCACGAGCTGGTCTGTGTATTGCTCTTACCCACCCATAAGCATAATCTGCTACAGTTCAGAGCTGTGTAGTTGTGTTTTGGCGTGTGTAGGAAAGAGGCAGTAAGCTACAGATTCAGGTGGTTAAACGTTGGTTGATGTGTATCCAGTATGTCTGCATAAGTTAGGGAATTGGTTGGATGGTTCCTTCCCCTTGGGGTGTGCAACAAATTGTCAGCTTTTGGCACGTGTGGGAAGTGAATTAAGTGCTTGCTGGTGCAGTTTCGGTTTCTAAAGCTGTAGTAATAGCGTCGCTACTGCAGACTTGTCTTAGGTATATAGAAGCTTTCTTATAGTCACAGTTTTGTCTCATCTTTTATGTTGGCACCAGGTTTTGTTATTTTGTACTGCTGGAGGTCTGCAGAAAGAGAGAAAAAAGGAAATAAATTGAGGTGTGTGCTGGTTTTCTTGTTGTACCTGTTAGGAATGGACAACCTAAAATAGTAATAGGCTTATAGGCTTTTATAAGTGACTTTTTTCCAAGTAAATGTTTGTTTAGTCCTGAGTTTAAAAAAGCACACAATAAAACACTCCCAGAAACTGCTTGTTTTCCCTTTTATCTCTCTGTGTTAATCCTTAACAGTTTTACCATAAAGTTTTTTATACTTGGTTACTTTGTGGTGGATTGTATTCTGAATGAATTCTTTAATTGATGTTAATTTCACATCTAAGCCTAGTTTCTGTTACTGTCAAAAACTTAATGATACACCTCTCATCTTGTTTCCCTGTTTTTCAAACTAATTACTGTTAATGTAGTATTCTATAAAGGCTTACCTTGTAAGTAAGTTTTAGTTCATCAATCCTGGTGTTTAGAGGCCTTTTGACACTTAAGACTACATGCTCTACGTTGCAGGCAGACTTTAGACAACAGAAGTTCTTTCCCTTCTTAAGCTGCTTTTTCTTTCTTTGCCTGCAGATCTTGCAAGTAGTCATTGCAGAACAGATACGTAACTACTGAATTATTTGTTTAATCATCAGGAGATCATTGATACAGGATTATTTCCATTTTCATGTTGCTAGTTCTTCTGTGGTACTCTTTTTTATTTTCATTAGTTTCTGAAAATACATCTCTGGGCTTCACCATGTCTCCCTGGAGAGATTCTTCATTTTGGATGTTGAATAAAGTGACTGGAGTGGAAGGATGAGGCATTTGCAGCAAACAGTGTGGGATGTTTGTTACATTAAGTACCTCTTGCATGAAGCAAATGTGTTCCTATTTCAGAAGCAAACTCCCCTTTAGTTCTTGGGTGTTCTCCCCTCTCTGCATGTACAGTCCCTTGCCGCAGAAGGGAAAGGAAAGTGGATACTGTGGAAAAAGTTGCTCAAGCAGCTAAGAAAGTCTGCAGAAGTACTGGGTTTTGAAAGGGAATGAAGAACAATACCTTTCTATTGGTAGGTTTACAGGAGGTTGAGTAGTGAGAGGCCACCCAAGTGGCAAGTTGAATGGTAGTTGGCTTGGGACACATGGCAGGGGTGAAGGAAGTACTTACAGGAAACCTGCTTTTTCTTTTGTTACGTATTGTTCTCTGCACTGTCATACAGACAGCAACATGCTTGGCCAAGGCTACCTTGTTTCATTAGCAGAGCAGGCAGATGCTGAATCCTTAAATACTGCTTTGCCCCTTCTGTCTTTTATTGAAGTGAAAATACAACTTACGTTCATGGAATTTCAGTTTGCATGATGCTTTGCCTGAATTTTATTTGATTTCACAGAGTTCTTGTCTGTATCAAACTTTTCAGTGCCAATGTGCCAACTGGACACCTGGCTTCCCAAAAGCTCAAATATGCTTTCTAAGATTGAAAAGCTAAGCTAAAAATGAAATTATGATAAAAATCTGTGTGGTTTTCTAAGTTGGAGTCTGAGGTTCAAAACGAAGGTGAGAAATCCTGAAGAAACTGGAGTGCTTTGTAGGTGTGGAAGTTGGGAAAAGGAGTTTATTTCCTTTGAAGGTACTGAGATTGTTTTTAAGAATACTGAGCAAATAATAGTGAGCAAAACTTGGTGCCTGTGAAGATGGGATATGCAGAGGCAGCGCTTTGTGGATTAATGCGATGGCTTTGGACTTTGTGGCTTTCTAGTGGAGCTTCCAAGCATTCGGTAATTGGTTTATTCAGCACAGGGTGATGTTTTAGGGATTCTAAATAAGCACTTAAGAGCTGCTAATAGCAAACTGATTTCCATCTGGACTTTACAGATGACATACTACCAGTGAGCTTTTAACCTGCCAGAGAAGGAATCCTGCCAGATGTCCTATGCATGAGTGTGAAAGCAGAATGCCAGTTAGTGTTTTGCCCTATGATACTGAGATTGAATGCTTGGAGATAGTACTGCTGATATTGTGATCTTTTATGGCTAGTTACAAATTATTATGAGGGCAGTTAAAAAAGACACTGATTCTGAATTTCCTTTCTCTTGTTCTGTATAATTGAAGTCTTGTTGAGAAGTTGTTTTACTTGCCTGGCTCTGACCAGAGCACTTGTCTTGTGAGGTTGTGCTGTGTCTGTAACCCAGATAGCAAAACCCACTCTAATGCTTCCTTAGGGAGGGGTAGCTTTCTTGGGGCTTTATTCCCCATTAGTGCTCTGTGTTGAGGTTATGTATCACTTCTGTGCTGTCTGGGGCTTAAGGTCTACTTGTTTATTAACATGTTATACCAAACAATCATAGTGTAATTTGAAGTATTGTGGGATGTAATAGAATGGCTTGCTTTAGTGGACCTGTGAATCCTATGGTTTGAATAGTTAGAATTTAATATTTCAAGTGGAATTTGAACCAACTTTTCTGTTAGGCAGATGTAGCTGCCTGCATGGCCCTGCTGAACACAGTGTGTGTGCTCTGGTTTGTTCTGCAAATGACCCCTAAATTTCTGTTGCTTCTGCTAAAAGGTGGGGTTGTTTTTTCCCTTTTCAAAAAAGGATGTGTTAACTGGCAGGGCAGAATGAATAAGATTGATTGACACAGCAGGGTAGCTGATGATATTTAACAATATTTTAATGTCATTTCTGCAGTTTTGCTAAATATATGTGTGGATATGTGGGGCAAAGGGAGATGGTACGGAACTGTCTGTTGCCTTAGGATTCAGTGTATTTAAAACACAACAAGCATTAATAAAATCTGACTTGCTTATTTGAAAGTTTAGATGTTGGAATGTAAACGCAGCTTGGTAACTCTGTGTTTTGTAGGGTCCTGCAGTCTGTTTGCTTAAATCAGTTTCTGATGGCCTCCTCACAAACCCTTTGGGCTGTATTTGACTGCGTTCAAGGCAGAAGTCACTAAGGAAACTTACCAGTATTTTGGTTGGCAGGTGTAGTTTACAAGTGATGAAAATAAACTGCAAAGATGAGTTGTTTATTACACCAGACTGTGATGTCTCGAGCTTTGCTGGGTGCAGTCTGTCATGCAATGCATATAGGGTTCTCTGAAGATCAAGAGATTTCAGCAAAATGCTCTACCCTGTCCTTGCCTGAACTACAGATGTCAAATACAACAGTGAAAGTATTTTAACAGAGAAGTGACTTTGGACACAGAAATCCATATCATTAAAAAGCGTGTCAAGGACCTGACACACCTTCACTTGCAGGTCATGAGGTCTGATTCTAAAAATCCATCCTGCAGTTTGGAGGAGTTTTCATTGCAGTTGATGAACTCTTTGGAGAGCATGCTGCTTTTTAATGAGCCTGTCTATAGAAATCCTGGAACTATTTGAAGACAGACTTCATCTGGATATGGAACGATACAAGGTTCATAACTATTTCTGGTGAGGTCGTTTTTGGGAACTGATCTCAACTGAATAAAACAGGACCTCTGAAAGAATAGCAAACACACAGGTGTAAGCTGGGGCCTGCCAGTCCTGCAGGAGGAAAAAGAATCACAAAATTAACTCTTGCGTGTTCTTTAAAAGTGCCATAAATCAGTTGGTGGCTGCATCATCATGTATATCCACAGGGGAGATCTGAAGCCAGTACTTAACTTTATAAAGTAGATTTTGATGAACTTTATTGATTTCTTAATGGGCTAATAACTGTCTCCCCTGTTGCTTGCTACAAATTTATCTAAACAGCAGAGTATTCAGAGCAAGAGCCTCCTTTGCCCAGCTCTGACTGTGGCTGAATACACATTCTGGTGGAGGCATAACTTGGGCAAAGCCTGATTTGTAATGTAGCTGATGGTGCTGCACAAGAATGAGAGGGTAAATAACTGGGAACAGGGGTAAAAATATGATTGAAAAATCATCTTCTGTTCTAAGTATTATTGAAAAGAAAACAGTTTTTACAGCTTAGTAGTTAGTAATTTTTCTATGGTCTTTTGACACAGAGGAAAGTAAACTCTGAGGTCAAAGCTCTGGCCTACAAGCATTTTACTCCAAATTCTAGATACTAGTCTTTTTCTTTAAAGGCCTGTCAAATTCTAGTATCAATTACCATTATGTAGTATAATCATCTTGATTAATAATGTGAAAGGAGTTGGGTGTCTCCTTAATAATTTTACTTGCTCTAAATCAGGAGGAGTTCTTGTACAAAGATTAAATATATTGCTACTTTCCTGCTTTCCATCCAGAATTTCCAAAACTGGTAACTAAAAGCTTGGAAGCTACAAAGGATTCCCTCATCCCCTTCATTTTCCTACAAGGTGATGGTTAGGTATATTAGTCTTTAGTTTTACATTATTTGGATACATATACCAAAAGTATTAAAAATAACTTGTGGATGGTGACTTTCCGAGACACGAGGTCATATGCCAGGTTGCTCCTGGCAAGTGCTAGTGGTGTCTCAGCTGGCAGCCTCCTGCTTGGGGTAAAATAAAGTCCCTGGTATGGAAATCCTGTGGTGATGGGGTTCTTTTCTTGCATGTAACCAGAGGGTTATATTCTTTGCCTGTATGGACCATATAACAAGAGCACAGAATGTCAGTTTGCTGCTAGGTAGCCTGTCCTGTACTTGGCCATATTCAGCTGTTTGCCTTATCCAAGGTAGGGCATGAATCTTCACACATAACAAAGCTGGGTCAGTTTTAACAAGTTCATCAAACCGCTGCTGAAGAAGCTATCTCATCCCTGGCTGCCACTGTGACTGCCATGGCCTTGTCCCCACAAAGCGATGCCCTCTCATAGGGGGACCCAGTGCTGAGCTGGCTCAGCAGGCTGAAAACAGAGCCCGGAGAGTTGCTGTTCGCCTGGGAGGAGCGTGCATCTCCTCATTCTGGTTGAGCATGCTGAACCACTCAGCGCTGCTTCGGACAAAGTAAAGGGGCAGGAACACATCCTGAGGTGCTGTAGCCCTTTACTGCCTTTAAAATAACACTTAAATGTTCTCAAGAAATACAGCCTCAGGTTACAGTTTCACCATAGCATGAACCTTTCTAAACTCAGGCTGTGATTTGGGTGGTCCCTCCTTAGTGTTAATATTAGAGCATAAGTAGTGCAGTAGGCTGGACCAGAACTGCTTAAAGCCCTTCTCTTTGGGTTTTTCTCCCCCAGTTTGTCTTCTGGTCCTTGATCTTTGTGACTTTGCAGCTGGGAAGTGCTGGTGCTAACACAGCAGGAGTTGCATGACCAGAATGGAGTGTAGATTTGCTGGGGTTGGAGACGGCAGAAACTCTTAATTGTGCTGAACAGTCACCTTTCTTTTATCTCGGATTTTGTCTCTTTGTTTTTGGTAGGAGAGGAAAAACGGACCTGGCAATATTGTTGGAGCTGCTGGTGTTAGTCTGTTTGCCTAATGCCTTTATCCTTTATTTTTTTCTTAACAAAGAAACTTTTTCTTTGACACTAGAGGCTCTTGGACTTAGCAACCCAGTATAGTAGTTATTTATTTATGAAAGGCTGTCAGTGTTGTTCCAAACATGCAGTTCATCTATTCAACTTGAGTCTGTCACAAAGGAATCGCTAATGCTGACTGTAACGGGGGTTTTGGAAAGTAAGTAAAAGTGTTGGGAAAGTTCTCTGTAATGAAAACATGTCAACACTTAGCGTTCTCACAACAAACATAAATGACAGCCTGTACATTCTGCAAGTATTACAGTTTTTATTCCAACTTTCAGAGTATCTTCTTTTATTTTTAGATGAATCTGCGTTCTGTATTTACTGTAGAGCAACAAAGGATATTACAGCGTTATTATGAAAATGGAATGACAAATCAAAGTAAAAATTGCTTTCAGCTCATATTACAGTGTGCACAAGAAACTAAACTGGACTTCAGTGTAGTCAGGGTAAGTACTGAGGCCTTTCAAATTTGTATGTTAAAGTTATACACATTCATTTCTTTGCGTAAAATATCTGCAGAGGACTGGAGTCTCTAACTTCATGCTTGTCGTAAATCAGACTTCAGTGTGTGTGTGACATGTTCATTTTTATCCAGTGAGCCTGTTTATCGTTTATTTTTGCTGAAATGTGATTCACATGATTGCTGTATTTAGCAGGGGCCTGGACTGCACAAGGAGTGGTTTTTGTTTGGCTGGTTTGTTTGTCTTCTGTTGATGGTGTTTTGGTTTGTGTTTTCAGGCTTTGTATTAGTATTTGTTAAATTATAAATTGGATTGCCCCATACAAACCTTGTGTGATGTATTGTGTCAAAGTCCTGTTATCAGGGAGCTATTAAGTTAAACAGATTTATATAACCCAATGTATTTGGGGGGATAATTGTGGAAGTATTTCTTTTGACACACTGTCACGCTTGTATTCCATGTCACAATCATAAATATTGTGGTACCTCATAGTTATTTACAGCGAGTGCAGTCTTTTCTTGTAAAAGAATGTCACTAGTGCTAACGGGAGCTCTTCCAAAGTCTGTGGGAAGGGAAATAATAATCCCTTTGTGAAACACTAGACAACAAAATGGCTGTTGTCTCAGAGCAGAAATGGAAATCATGAAGCATTAGTGGAAAAAATAACAGTAGTTGAGCTACCAGCAACACTGGACGCTGAAGAAGGAGTAAGACCAGCCTATTTTTACTTTAAGCGGTGTACCAGTGGTATATTGAGAGTAACAGCTCTTCCTGCTCCCTAAATCTTGTGTGGATTCTCCTCCCTCAAAAGACTCTGGAAATATTAAAACTTACTTTCTCAGCTCTAGGTGGTGGGAAGTTGTGAAAGTCAGCCAGAAGTTCAGGCTCCCTGAAACAAAGAGTTGTAACAGGAATCTACTGTTGGTGCTGATGATGCAGTCAGGGCCTGTTTTTCTAATTTTATTCTGATTAAGGAGATAGAGGAGGCAGCCAGTCTCTCCTCTGCTTGCAGGCCTCATTCGCTTTCCATCTTCTTACTTCCATGTCCCTCTCTTTTTCACTTACTGCAATAATGTTTCATGACCTTCTTCCTTTAGTTTTATTCCCTTACGGAGCCCTTGCTTGCAGTACTTAAACTTTCTTCCTACAGTGCAGTGGAAACAAACCCGGCATTTGTCCTTCATTTGTCATATTTTTGTGTGATCTCACCTTTCTCTTCTTTACACCCCCCTTTCTGCCTCTCCTCGTTCCCCCCTTTTTCTCTATAAAACTCTTGGACAGAAGTTAGTACTTCTTCTGCACAATGTCGAGCAAAATGATACTTGGGTTACAGCTGGCATTTGCAGATATGACTATAATGGGAGCATGAATTCCCTAAATGTAACTGCTATAATTCAAATGTCATTACTCTATGAATATATTCTTTCCCTGAATCAGGATTTCTATAGCCTTTGTCCAATAGAACAACATCCAGTCTTTCCAGTCTTGAGCTGGGTTGGAAAAAAGAATGATTTATGAATTGATGTAAACCTCTGTGGATTTTATTACTGCAATACCTAAAAATATGTTCTCCGTTTCAAAATTAGAGAATGTGGTAAAGTTACTCCTGGGCGGGGGGGAACCCTGCCTCTCTTCACATTCAGTAGGCAACTATTCTAGCTGTGTCCGGTTTGTGTGGCCTGGTGTTGTTCATTAGTATTACCATACTTCTGCTGGTTGCTTTTTTGTCTTCACATGAAATGTGAGCAGTATGACTCGATACAGTGCAGAAGTCTTCCAAGTCTGATTTTTGCAGTGTTAGGGAGCGCTGGGAGCAGCGATGAGGGAGGTGATGCGAGCTTCTGCCCAGAGTACCACAACAGATACCAAAAGGTTTACAGGTTCGTCGTTCTTTTACACCTCTGGAAGGATTTCCTGAGGGCACTTTATTTTCAGATTTAGGATGGACTCTGGTCAAAACTAATGGCCAGGCACCACTGACAGTCCCTCTGGTGTGTGTACCTGGAATGTGGGACAATCTGAATTGCCAGCTCTGCCTGATTCAAACTGGGAATGTAAAATCAGGGTCTCTGAAATTCCAGGTAATTTTCTTAACAGGTGGACTTCAGATGTGTCATCTTTTCTGGGAGCTCCTCCTAAATGATAGTTAAGAATTTCAGTAGTGCTTCCAGTGTTAGGTAAAGTGCTCCCAAAGCTTACTGGTTGGAGGGCTGGATTGAAACAAAGATTTGTGTCCCTTTTCGTGGGATATTTTGTACTTAATGTCTCCTGTCATATCCCACAATGATACCATACCATCAAGTTAGTAACAACATGGAGCTTCCCTTTCAGTCTAATTCTTCTCAGTGATTATGTCTCACAGTGCTAAAAATGGGAGGCTTCATACTCTTTCCCTTCTCAGCTGTGCAGATCTTTCTCTCATCTTGTGCTGATCATCTCTTGCATTTACTCACAGGAACCCAGCTAAATTTGATAAACTCACCAAAACTTTTGTTGTTGTCTTTTTGTGTCAGTTAAGTTTTATGCCTTTTGGGGGAGTTCCCTGATCGTTCTGGTGAGTGCTTTTGGATAGATGGTGGGAAAAAGAAGCTGGGGACACGGTCAGCAGAATGGGACTCTTTCAGCAAATGGCAAACCTGATTTGTGCTGTCTCATGAAACTCTACTTTAATCCCATGTGAATAGTAGTTAGTCGCATTTCTTTGAATGCATTTCTTTTCAGGAAAAGTGAGAGGACAAGCTTTAGCTTTTAGTTCTATACAGTTGGAAAAGTTAGGGATGAAATCTCTTTCCTGGTCCAAACATTGCAGTGTCTCTATAGTTTTTATCTTGAGAATTTACTGACTGAGCAGAAATTGCAACAGCGAAGTTTGACCTTCTAGATTTGTTTTATTCAATTAAAAAAAGCGCCTTGAGATCTATGACTAAAATTTCTGCATTTAAAACTTGCTTTTGAGAAGAAAAATTTGATCATTAGTAACTGGGATGTTCCTGCATGCAATGAATCATTCCTCAAATTAGGCACTTTCTAAAATTCTACAACAGAAATGGGTAGAATGGCATGAAGACTTCAACACACTTCTGTAGGGCAGGGATGTGTATTTTTCCATAGAAAAATCCGTTTTACTTCCTTAGCATGTATTGATATGTGAAGAAAGCTTTCCTCCTTTCATGTGATGAGATTGAAATCCAAGATAGGTGCTCAGTGCAGTTTCCTTGTTATAGGGTGAGGGATTTTATTGTTTAAACCAACTGGTTGCTGAATGTTGAGATCTTGCTTTGGTTTGGCTTTAGGTGTGCGGTGGATGATATCCAGTGTGGTGCAGAAACTGTCTCACCATATCTCTATATGCGTATCTGATCCTTTTCATAACAAGCATAAGCAGATGCAGAAGCTTATTTTTCATTCTTTGGCTCTTGTATCCCGCTCCCTGATGCTCTCACATTCAGTACAGACAGGTGGAAAGAATTTGAGCAGGTCTTGTCTCTATGATCATGAAAATTGCCAGGGATAGTTAAGTGGTGCTGATGCTTCAAGAGCTAGAGCTGAGGCTTCCACCACATTAACTCTCTTTATCTTGAAATACGGAAGTTAATATTTTCCCTTCAGTTCTTTGTGCTCTGTCTTAATGTGTTATTGCAGGACAGGCATTCCTGTGTGTTTAAAACACACAGCAGTACATTTTAACCTGTGCACAGCTGCCGCAGTACCTGCACTTCTCAATGATTTTTTTTTTCCAATGCTGTCTTTTACACGATCCCATGTAACTGTCATTGTCACTTTCTGAAATGTCCATAATAGCAAGCTTGTGTCAGAATCTAATCCTGGTAGTCCAAATCTTGTCTGTCGGTGTCTTTCAAAAGCAGGCTTTGACATCAGATCTCGATTTGTGCAGCTGGCAGAGGAGAAATTAATCTGTAGGTCTAAATAGTCACAAAATTGTTTTGTAGTCGTCTAACAGAAAGTAACTTTTCTTCCTCTCATCTGAATTCAAGAACTGGCAGTTTCTGTTTAAGGTAGTTTTGAAGGTTGTATCTCGTTTGGTTACAAAAGGTTAGCTACATACCTCAGTGATGGTTCTGCATCCCAAAGTGCTAAATACTAAAAGTTAAATTTGGGGGAATTAGTCACAGCAGGATCAGTGAAATACATCTTAAAGGACAGGAGGCAAAACCAGTCGCAGGATTTTTGAGTAACTGGGGCTTTTGAATTGAAACTGGGGTTCTTGTGTGTTAATATATGAATCCCGAGCATGAGAGGCATGTATTTTTCACCACCCTGTATTGTTCAGATGCTGCATAATCAGTAAATTATTTACATTTTTGTAAACTTAGGTCTCAACTTGAACATTTAACATTGCATCAGATCTGCTTAAAAATGGAATTGCCTAATTTTTCTGCTTATTTAATGCTTTGTTTTGTGTTTGTTGTCATTGTTTGCAGACGTGGGTTGGCAATAAACGAAGGAAGATGAGCAGCAAGAGTGCTATAGAATCTGGAGGCACTCCCCCAGGGACTGTCCCTACTATTCCCTCAGTACCTCCGGAAGCAGCAGTTAGAAATGTGGTAAATATTGGTCGATCCCAAAGTCAGCAGACTTCTTGGACCTCTTCTAATAATGATGTAATAGTTACTGGTATATATAGTCCTGCTAGTTCATCTGGTAGGCAAGGATCCACCAAACAGACAAATGCTTCAGTGGCAGAAATACATAAAACCCCTATTCCACGGCTACCAGGAAAAGGCGATACAGAGTTTCAGCAGCAGCACATCCCTATAGGACGACAAGTACCACATTGTAAAAATGCTTCCCTATTAGTAGGGGAAAAGACTATTATTTTATCTAGGCAAACAAGTGTACTGAATTCTGCGAACTCCATCTATAGTCACACTAAGAAAAGCTATGGTGGTTCGTCAGTCCAGACTGCAGAGTTGGTGTTACCTCAGAAGCCCATGATATGCCACAGGCCCTGTAAGGCTGAACCCATGGGATGTCAGCGGTTACAAAAGCCAGACCATGCAGCTCTCACATCGCATGTGCCCCCCGGACACAGAGCTAACACCAGGGACCCTTCCTGTAGCACGCAAAACCTGGAAATTCGGGAAGTGTTTTCTCTGGCAGTTACAGATCAACCTCAAAGAATGGTGGGAGGAAGCACAGCACAGAAGCATTGCTCAGTGGAAGGCACCTGTCTGTCCATCGCGATGGAAACTGGAGACGTGGATGACGAATATGCTAGAGAAGAGGAGCTAGCATCCATGGGAGCACAAATACAAAGCTATTCGAGATACTGTGAAAGCAGCAGTTCTGTTCGAGTAGAGAACCAAAGTGCAGCCTTGTCTGGGCCAGGAAGAAATGTGAGCTGTAGTTCACAGATGGTGAATGCCAGGGACATGCCTGACAATATTCTGTATCATAGCAGAGACTACCATTTGCCTGCACGGACCTCATTACATACAACATCCAGTACGTTATATAGCAGTGCTAATCCATCAAGAAGTACCTTTTCTCCTCATTTTACAACTTCAAGTCAACTGAGGCTGTCACAAAACCAAAATAATTACCAGGTAATCCCTCTATTTATCGGTCTTCAAACCTTGAAGACAAATCTGTAGATAAGTACTGTTCCAAAGTTGGTAGCTAGTAAGTGATAGGTTCACTTTTCTGCAGGCTGTGCTCCATTTACATCTTTCAGTTAGAGATCATCCCTTCGTAAGCAGAAGTGCAGGTAGCACTGAAGTATCATAGCACTCTTGTCTGTATCGCTAAGTCCATGGCTGCTGTATATTGAGGAGCAGTGTGGGTTTCATAGATTTGATAGATAGACTGGTTACAAGAGGATCATGCCTATGACTGCTGATGCAGGCTCAAGTGTGCATTGTCCTGAGTTGGCTTGCCAGCACATATAGTGATACCCTTGGTTGTTCCTTTGCAGACATACTTTGCACGTGGCACATGGCAGAATGTAGGATCATGCTGTCATCTGTGTGTTGTGCAGTTGTTTGTCCTTATTAATGTCAGCTTGGATTAGCTCTTCCATCAGCACTGCCCGTACCCCCTGTGCAGTTGCCAATCTCTTGGACCTGTTTTATGTTAGGGATTAGGATCTCGTGCGAGGTAGTTGAGATGATGGGAGACACTAAGTGAGCAAATATTATTCTTCTCCCACAGCATCTAATTCAAATATCATTTTTGCATTCAATCTCATTATTTCCTTATCCTGTAATAGAGTCCCTGCGGTGGCACAGAGTGGGGAAAATTAGATGCAGGTCAGTGAAGAGCTAAAAGATGTTGAGAAGGTAGGACACTGGCTCACTTGTATTTTTAATTTTTGTAGTAACTAGAGGGATGATAATTGGGCAGGAAACATCCAGATTGATTTTTTTGTTCTTTTTTTTTTTCCCCATGGATTTTTATGCCTTCTGACATGACACAGCCTAGAAACACTGAGGTGAAAGTCTGAAGACTGACAGGATGTGATTCTGCGTGTGTTGCCTTTGTGCATTTGCCTGTTACTTCCTTTTTAATCTACCCGAAAGTGAACCATGTAAACAACATGCCATCTTTCCTTCTGCACCGCTCACTAGTGTAGAGGACATTACTTTGTGAAGTGGTTTTGGGGCGGGTTTTTTTGTTAGGGGTGGTGTTTTCCTCTTTTTTTTCTCACTTGTTCCTATCTTGTGTGAGGGTTCGAAACCAAGCTTTTGAGTTCAAGTGAGTGCCACTTTTCACCAGAATCACTGCTTTTCTCAGAAAACCTGAGGTTCGATGAGCGTATTTACTTTGGAGCAGAGCCTGTGTAGTAGATGGGACATGGGCAATTCTTATTTATGGTCTTTTTCTAGGCTGAGCACTTTAGACAAGCTGTTCTTTCTGTTTCTCCCTTCTCTCAGTCTGTCAGTATTTGCTATTACTGTTCTTACGTGAGTTATAAAGTGCATTAAATGCTGTTTACTTTTGATGTCCCAGTTTCATAGAAGAAAAGCTGTGAGCGTGCACATCTGTTCAGTAAAGAGCTGATAAAGCTGCAAAACTGCATACAATAGAGTTAAGGAAATTTTCTTAAGTTTTGTGAAGTAAAATACATCACTGATACCTGCAGCTGTTTTCTCATTTCACTCTTGAAAAGGCATCCATGAGATTTATTTCTTACAATTTTTTTTCTTTTTTTGAATGTTTTAATGCAGATTGAAATATCTTTAATTTGGGGGTTTTGTTGTTGTTTGTTTTTCTTGGGTAGGGACAGAGTTTTTAAACAGCGAGTTCATGAAACGTAGTTTATGGTAGGTGACATTTGATCTGTCCATGTGATGTGATATGGATCAAAATGAGGAGCTCTCTAACTCCATTTTGGGTTTGGTTTGGTTTTCTCCTGTTATAAAAATGTACCTGGGGGGGGGGGGGGTGTGTGTGATAAGTGAGGAATTCACTGGTACCTTCTTTGACTTTCATGCCTGTCTCTCAGAGACTCTGTTCTTTGGATTTAGGAATGCACCTTAGACCTTGCGTTGGAAAAATCACGCAGGTTGCTATTAATTCACTTGCTGCTGTAAACATGCATGCTGTGAACCTCTAGGATGACACTTTTAGAGAATTTATAGGGGGGGCATGTAGTTTCATGGCTCTGTGGAAGCTGCAGGGGAATCATGTCCTGCCTGATGCCATAGTACCTTGAAGGAACAGTGGTCCTGGTTTCTCCAGGTCACTGTGCTCCTTGCCAAGAGTCTTTAGCACATTCCAGAGCAATGCAAAAGTAAGTTCTGTGTCTTAAGAGGTGTTAGTGTATGACAGTGAGACTTCCAACACTCATTTATCACCTTGGCCAGAAAATGTCACCTACTGCCTTCAAAGTCCTGTATAACAAGTAATTTACCCTGCTAGGCCATTAACATATTTTGTTTAGATTGTCAGTTCTTCAATAGTTTAACCCTTCCTCCATGTCCTCCTCTTAAAATTAAGTCCAGTGTGACTCCTATTTCGTGTAGCAACTCCCCTTATAGCTTAATAATATTTATATGTTAAGCTTCAAGAGGTAGATTTTTGTAAGACGGGCTGTCTGAGTTCTTTTAGGCTTATGCAGGATGATACTTCTGTGTGGAGTCACTTCCTGTTCATCTTATTGCCCGTGTTTAGCTGATTTATCCATCAGCGTAGGAATTAAAATCTTACAATTTAGGGAAATCTTCCTAAATTTAAAAATAGATTAAACCTGAGCCACCTGATTATTGGAGTAGTTAAACATCCAAGCAGATGCTTCTTTAATGTCAGAACTGTGTGATTTGTGTTTTGATGAAGTAATTACTGTCGTACATTGGTGGAGTATCTAATTAGTAATTAGTTACAGCTTCCTTACTGGTTCCATTAATCAAATTCATGTTAGTGTAACTTAAGACTAAATTTAATTAAGTGATCAATTTTAATGCCTGAGCAGTTTCAGTAAACAAATTGTTCAACCTACTTTTCTGAGTTTGGCTTTAAGCGAGTTGAATTGCAGAGGCTATTCTTGCTGGGCCTCAAGGCTGAATCGTGATTTACTCTTGGTTTCCTTCCCCCAACCCTAAGGGACAAAAATACTGTGGAAGGTATGTGTATTTTCAATTACTTTGTTAACACACACTGAAGCAGACTTACCTCATTTAGCCCTGTCTTTTTCAAGGGAAAAGCCTAAGCCTTATAGCCAGTAGGTCAGAATAGATACGTATATCATACATATATATTTAAGATTCACTTTAAGGATGCTGCTTTATATGAATGAGCTGCAAGTTTGCTTTATTTAAGGAAATGGGAATCCATTTTTCTTTTTTATTTTTAATGTGTCAGAGTGATTTGTTTATATCCCTAGAGGCTTTTGAAGATGGGAAGATGCATGTTGTCTTCAAGTAGTTATACTGAGATAAACTTGGTTGTGTTTGCCATCATACCTCTCAGAACTTGTGTGCATTTGTCTTCCAAGTTAGCTGTTAATGCTCTGGCAGACTGATTGCTTTATTCACATAGGAAAGCATGGTTCTTCCTGTAACCCCACTTCAAATTTCTGGGGAGAAGCCATGTGAGTGATACTGAGGAGGCATTTACAACAGGTTTTGTGGTGTGGAGTGTGGTGCAATACAGAATTGTAATTATATAGAGTTTCTAAAATATATACGTGCAGCTAAGAAATGAATATTTGAGACATAAAAGCTGACGTAGGCTTGCCCTTAGGAGTGGAGGGTGTTCATTTTTAGCCCCCCTCAGCCTGCTTTGTGCTGAAATGACAAATTGTCTGACCTTAGGTAACCTCCAAGTGCTTCCAGCTAAAAGCTTGAAGAATAAAACTATCTTGGGTGCTTGTACACCAGACAGGCTGCATCAGGTATTCTATATTTGGTTATGCTCATTCTGCAAGATTCATTATTAGAAGACTTTGCAAATACAAAAACTATTAACACAGTTTGATACAGTCAGCAAAAGTGCATAGATTCTTATTCCTCACACATATAGTGTGTGTAATGACTTGAGATTCATTAATCTCTCAGGAGCTATATTTAGTCTTTCAAGCATTGCTTGTCTGCAGCAGAACATGAATCTTAAAGAAGCCTAAAATACTCCAGGCTGTTACACATCTCATATGGCCAGGGAAAACAGTCCAAGATCAGACTTAGATAAAGTCTGATCACTGGGAACGATGGAGAAGCAATGGGAATCAAGGGGAATCAAGGCAGCAAACCTTTGCCTTCATACTGCCTTTCTTTCCTTCTCCAACCTGATGTCCCTAGTTTTAATGTCAGTATGCAAATCCTTAACATGTGACATTGAACAGCTCAGCTAGAAACAGGTGCTATTGTCTTTTCTGCATGTTTAACTGTTGTAATTGAAAATTGTGTGTCAGCAGTTCTGTCAGACACTGGCCCTTGTCTGAGTTCAGTCTGCTTAATCTTATGGGGTTTGTGACAGATTCCAAGTGAAAACTTGTGTCCTGAAATACAAGTTTTGAGATAGCAAAAGTACAGAAGTTGCCCTCATGTTCTTTTACCTTCTCTGAAAGAAATTGTTTTGGTTTTAGTGTGACTTTGTTTTGCTTTTAAATCTTAACCTGTCTTACAGGTGTTGTTAACAGAATTGAATGCGCAGTATTGTGAAAGCTGCTCAGTATTAGCTGTCATAGCAAACTAAGCTGCTGGTTTCTGTTCTGTTTCCTCCTTCCCTTTACAGATTTCAGGAAACCTTACTGTGCCTTGGATTACAGGTTGTTCCAGGAAAAGAGCAGTAAGTATATTTCCATTTAAGTATCTAATGCATCAGGTGGCGTGAATTTTGTTTATTAAAATGCATTTTTGAAGCTGACAGTTCTATTTACCTTATGTTCCTTTTGTACTTTGACTGAACAAACATTATCTGCGCACACAGTGTTTCAGTTAAGGCAAGGTTGATATGTATCTTTAAAAATAGGTCAAGGTCATAAGCCTGTGTCCAGTAATGTGATGCCCAGGTGTATGAGTTGTGCTGTTAGCTGAAATACAACACCTGAACTGGTAAGGACTGAGAGTTCAGAGCTCAGAATGCTTTTCTTCTTTTAGATGGAAAGTTAAATGGTTGTTTAATCGAGGCAACTGAATGCTTAACAGAGTAAATCCCTCTTTGGCTACTCTGCACATTCACAGAATTAGTCCCTGCTATCCATAGAACTTTACCAAGTCTAACTTTAACTGCATAGATGTCATTTCACATCAGGCAGAATCAGCTGGGTCAGTGTCCTTAAGTCACAAATGACTCCAAACTGTAACACAAGGTATGAAACAGCTTTTGTCAGGAAAGTAACTCTGTTCTGCATTCCCCCCATCTGTAGCACTGGTGCTAGTATCTAATTGCAACGTAATCCGGGTCAGGCATGTGAGCTGTTAGATTCATATTCTTCTGCTGAGTTTGTCTTTAGTGGGTTGAATGTACTTACTGCGGCAGCAGGAGCATGTGGCTGGGAGCAGTGAAGAGAGCAGGGCACGATGTTTCTCAACAGTGGTTGTTGGGGAATGGTGGTCATAAAATCATGGAATGGTTTGGGTTGGAAGGGACCTTAAAGCTCATCCAGCTCCAACCCCTGCCACAGGCAGGGACACTTTCCACTAGAGCAGGTTGCTGCAAGCCCCTGTGTCCAACCTCGCCTTGAACACTGCCAGGGATGGGGCAGCCACAGCTTCTCTGGGCACCCTGTGCCAGTGCCTCAGCACCCTCACAGGGAAGAGCTTCTGCCTAAGAGCTCATCACAGTCTCCCCTCTGCCAGGTTGAAGCCATTCCCCTTGTCCTGTCCCTCCATTCCTTGTCCCAAGCCCCTCTCCAGCTTTCCTGCAGCCCCTTTAGGCACTGGAGCTCCCCTAAGGTCTCCCCTTCAGGAGCCTTCTCTTCCCCAGGCTGCCCCAGCCCAGCTCTCTCAGCCTGGCTCCAGAGCAGAGCTGCTTCAGCCCTCGCAGCAGCTCCATAGCCTCCTCTGGACTTGCTCCAGCAGCTCCACATCCTGCTTGTGTTGGGTGCCCCAGAGCTAAACACGGTACTCCAAATGGAGTCTCACCGACGTGGAGCAGATGGGGCGGCTTGCCTCCCTTGACCTACTGGTCATGCTGCTTTAGAAATATCATGCTACATGGCTCACACAAGCTGTAGAAGAAATTTCTGCAATAAGCTTAAAACCTTCAAGGCTGTGGAAGTGCCTGTTCATTAGGGGTGGTTATTAGGAATTCCTTTTTCTTTAGACCTTTACTCCCGAGTCTTCCTAATCAATAAAATGCGTACACGCCATTGGTTAATATAGTCCATTTTGACAACATCTGTTTGCGGATTCGTGGATGCGCTTTCTCCAGTTTGAATGCATAATTAGTCTACTCAAGGATACCAGTTTGGGAGTTGGCACTCTAAAACTGCTGTATACACACAGGTGTAAGACAACAAAAAGAGAGAAAGCTCCTACTTCCCTAGGAAACTTCAGTTTCAGATGTGAAATCCTTTTGAAGAAAGTGTGGAGAACAGAAATAGAATGGGTAGAGTTGTAGAACTGCGATTATGGCAATTACTGCCATTCAGACAGTAAAAAGGCCAATCTGTATTTTGTTTAGAATGGAAAAGATCATCTTTTAGATGCTCTGAATTTTTAATGTTTTGCCTTGATGTTTTGTTTTCCTTGCCCTGTCCTTCAACTGCACCAAGAGAGAAATAAAAACTGTGCAGTTCTGCAGAAACTCTTTCTTGCCTGCTCAGCTGTACTGTAAGATGATGTAATCCTGACTGTTAATGAATGTTAGTCTAGAAATACCACCCTCTGTTATTCATGAGAATGTCTTTTGAAATTATGGAGTTCTGTATTCTGTCGTGGAGCATGTGCAATGCACTGGCCTTTATGAATGCATTGATTTTGGTTGTTTTTTACAGGATGGTGGAAGGATAGCAAGGATTAAAAAATAGCAGTGAAGATACTGGTTAAAGATAATTAAAAGGGGGAAAATATCTTCACTTTTGTCCTTGCAGTTAGGTCTTGAGTGTACCAACTGGGCTTAAGTTAGGTCTCTGTTGCCTTAGCAGATGGTTAGTGTTTATGGTAGGTATAACCTGGTATGCTAATGTTTGTCAGATAGGTGTTGACTAGGTAAAATGGCTTACCTAGAGTGCCTGGCTTAGTTATGAAGTTTTATCCTGGGGGGAGAGGAGATAGTTTAGCTTTTCATTTTTTATTTCTAATTAGGATCAGTTCTAGTGGTCTTACTATCAAGTCTGACACACAAAGTCATTAAGATAGTAAATTAAGGGTTTAGGATTATTTCTGCACAATCACCCGTTGGAAGCAGGCATAGGAAATCGGTGAAGAAACTGATAAGGGAAAGGCTTTGTATTTTCCCCCTACTTGAAGCAACACTGCATTGTAGCAATGGGCTTGAGACTTTCTTGAACGTACTGCTGCACTTAGCTGGGACTCCCACTATAGGTAGGTTAGCTGGATCTGCCTCTTCAGCTTGGGGTGTCTGGCCTCTGGTGTTTATTTTGTGGGGAGGGAAATAGCTGAAATGAGTGGAGAGCTCCTGTGCTAAATTCTGTTTTTTTTTTTAATTGCTCTTTCACTACTGCCCATTTGAGTAAAATTCTGGAGATAGCGGCAATAAAGCGTTTCCCTGAGAGTCCTGCTTGTCAGGCACTCTGAATCAGGCAAAGGAGCTGGTCTAACCCCAGGACAGGGCAAGACCTGCCACAGGTGAACGTGTGGAGGAGGCTACATCAGTATAACTGCAAGAGAAAGTACCTTATTGGACTGTGGTCTGAAAGTGTCGTGGAAACTGTAACTGCCACAATAAGCCTACAAAAGGAGAAAATATCTTAGAGTGGCCTTTAAAGTGAGCACCCATAGGGATTAAAGCTACCTAAAGTCAAAGTGCACTTAGTTGTACCTCTTGGTTTAAAACTATACCAACTTGTGAAGTTCTCTTCACCTGTTCACGTTACTCCCCTTTCCTAGAAGGGCAGAGGGAAGAAAACTGTGTTTTAGTCAAACTAGTGAGAGCATGTCTTGAGTAAGATAGTCAGAGTCCTCAGAAAGAGAGACAGGCAAGACAAACTGAAGATCTCCACAGGACTGAATTGTGAACGCTGTTCTTATGCATGCCTTCTGTGTCATTTGGATTAATGGATTTGGTTAATACTTTCCCTCCTTCAGTGAAATATTTCACCACATACCTCAAGGTATTGCATTTTGTTAATGTTCACATTAGATGCTAATAACATGCATAACATCTCATCACCTTCTTGCTGCCAACAGCACCTCTTCACTATTCCCAGTGACAGTCCTTCAATGGATGCAAAGGGTAGGCATGCCTTATTGTTGTTTCAGGTGAAATAGATCTTTTTATTATATCCTGCACCTATTTCCACAAATCACTTAGGCTTATTGGAGCTGTGATCCTGCAGGCTAGAAGTGTGTCAGGTATTGGAAAAGCAGACTTTCTAGTTAAATGCAAGGAAGACATCAGTAGATTAAATAAGAATCATGATAATTATGGTTCAGAATCTCAAGAAGGGTGAGTTGCCAGTTTATGTGGATTGGAGGTTGATTATGGAGTGAGAAGACTGGAGTTTACAGTGTAATTATTTGGCTAGACAGTTCTATTGCAGTGATATCTCCCTGTTTTCCTTTTTTTTTTTGCCTCTTCTTAGCTGTGTTTGGTTTAGAAACATTAACAGAATATATGTAATTTAGGCTGAGTGTTGAAGCAGTTGCAGTTCTTTTCAAGATGTGGTACTGTGAAATATTTATCAGTTCTGCTTCCATCAGAGCAAACTTCAAGCTTCCTCAGCCAGTGGGAAAAGATGCAGAAAGTGTCTCTCTAGAAATCTGTTTGTGCACTAATAGTGCATTTCTATTGAAGCTCTAGTTCTTTTTTATAGCGTGTCTTTTATGAATAATCTGAAGATTGTGTATAGCTTTTGTGCACGTGGCCCGAAACATTTTCAACTCGTGCATGAAAACTGATCTAAAAAAGCAGGCTCTAATAAATGGCAGGATAAGGACACTCCAGTGCAGCACAATTATTCATACCAATTATAGACTCCAGATTTGTACCACAAATATTGCATGCACAGTGGGTATTATAAGGGGCCTGGCAAAATGCCAGGAATGTCTGTAATAAACTGGGTCATCTCTTACAAGAATGTTGCTGTTACACTTGGGAGGTCAGGGGATAAGCAGGGTTTAACCCTCCACTTGGCAGAACTGCTGATTCAATTTGCTCACAAGGATTGCTTTTCATTGTGAGCTGATAGTCTATTTTCCGCGGGAAGAAGCTCCTCTGCCTTTCAGGCTATGGACAACAGAACTGCTAAATGTAAAGAATTCAGCAGTCAACACTGCTGAGGATAAAGACAAGCCTTGAATCAGCAAGCAGGGGATCTGAAGAGAGGAAATGAGAATTGCATTCATAATAGCTGTTATAATAAAGTAAAAATAAGAACTGAATTGCTGGCTTGTCTTCAGCTATTGAAAAATATTGTCCTAAATATGAAGCTTCTCAATATTATCTTCTGATAGGTTTTTTCCTGTGCTAACTGATGCATAACCATGACTGTTACGACATTTATAGGACTGCTTTTTTTCACTCTTGTTTGTTCAGTTCCTCTCATGATACTAAGCATGAGAATGGCATCAATTAAATTGATGGAAGTGTAATTATCTATCCAATGTAGAAATCCCACCCTTTATTTTCTCACAAAAGTAATTGACTTTTATAAAAGCATTATGTAATTTTTGATCAGCTTATAATGCAGGACTCAAACTTAGGTGTAATTTTTGTCAAGGGGATGGAAGGTTGGTTGTGATTTCCCTAAGAAAATCATGTAAAGGTATATGGCACAGTAAGTTACACAGAGGTAAGTTACACAAAGTCTGGATCTAAATTTTGGACCAGCTGAAGTGTTATTTACATCCAGTGAGCATAAGGGTTAAGACTGATCCCATTATATTGGTGCAGCAAGTGAGCAGAGTAAACCAACCATCCTCCTGTGTGCCCTCTGAGGTACCATAAAGCAGCTCACACTGACTGTACGAGCAGGCAAACATACAGCTCCTGTGTTTCACTTTTGATATGCAGTGACCTGCTTCCCTTTCAGCAACTTTTGTGAATTGGAGCCCTTAAATGTCAAGATCTTTCTTTTGAGGCACTGGTAAAATCTCATGTCCAGAACCCGGCAGATTCTGTCTTCCAAAGACCAACCAGCTGTGTTAGAGCTGCCAAAATATCCCTTGCTGAAGACAGTGCTTTCAGCTTCTCAGAGGCTCAGTTCCTACCTGCTTGGCTATATTCAGTAGTGTGATCTTGGTGGGGAAAAAAAAGGCAAAGGTGAGATACAGACTCCAAAGTAGAAAAATTGAAGTGGGATTGAGGAGTGCTAACTGGAGAACACGCAGAGTTTATTAGGGTGAGTTGGGCCAAGCATCTTGACCATTCTTCTCTCCTCAACCCTGAGGGAAACCTAACTTTTTGTATCACCTGCTATTTACATGCACTTGTTTTTCCCCTCAGTTCTGTTCCTGCTTTCTGGACTCTTCCATGTGGTCTGTGTGTTATAGGATTGTTGTTTCTTTTGTATGAGTTGACTGAAAAGGCTTGTTCTCCATTTCCTTCTCTGACCTGCAGTCAGTATCAGTATGATTCATGTGCTGCTGCATGAGCTTGTCAGGAACAGGTGAAAGGATAAAGCGCAGCAGTAACTACAGCAGCAACAACAAAAAAAACAACCCAAAATACATATGTCATCAGAAACCTGCAAAATATTTTTGGCAAGGAGGTAAAACAAAAACTTTGAGTTTTGTTTTCTTTCCACATTAAATGGCTGCAAAAGACTTCATTGGGAATGTAGCAACAGGATAGTTCCTGTAACTTTAAAACACTAAAACATTTACTTTGATCTAAACTATTGAGACTGACTGTACAACCCAAGTTTTGTAGCAAAATTACATAGCACTTGTGAAAAGCATTGAATAGTGATTTATCTAATAAGATTTGTATTAAAATATTTGTAGTAGATCATCAGAATTAACATCCATTCTCCTAAAATGGAAAAGATGTGACACTGCTTTTTTAAGTAACATTTTTGAACACCAGGTAGTTTTGCTAGACACTGCTTCCTCCACTTAAAGTGCTTGTATTTAGAAGTAAATGAGCAGCCTCTGTGCCCTTCCTGCAGTACCATCCCTTTGGTAACTGACTACAGTCAGCAGTTGTATGTCTTTTGTCTAACAGGGATGGTTTTGCAGGTCACAAATACAAAGCTTTTCTGTTAGTGAGTGCTCTTGCTCTGTATTCTTTCAGTCGAAGCAGCATTTTTGTAGATAACTGGAAAGTCACGCAGCAGGCAGAAATCTGTACTTACCCCAGCATCAGCTGTACTTTCTTGGGTTTTGTTCTAATTTGCCCATTACAAACAAGGTGAGACACAACTACACTAACTGGGGTTGCGCCCTTTTATCTGCAGTAATACCACAGAGATTCCTTTTTGCTTCTTTCATTTCACTCCTCTGTTGGGGAGGGGAATTTCTCTGGCATGTCCCAGGAGGTTCCTTTAAGGCATGCCCATTAAATACAAAGGAATTTCCTATTTTATTTTCCTGATAAGTGGAGATCACAGTAAGCTGAGGGAGCGGTGGGTTGCTGCAGCAGTGTTGTCAGTGGGAGCTCTACAGAACTGACAGCAAATATTACTCATTTATGTTTAGAAAATGCTCAGTATACTTCAGAAGATGAAGTTGCCCTGAGTGTTCAGGAAAGCAGGGCAGGCCAGAGTGATTGTTTCTCCCTGTAGTTTGAGTGTTGCTATCACATTCCTTTTGTCTTCCCTGTTCTTAGCACTTGGCTTCTGCTCCCTGATGGGGAGAGCTCTCCCTGTCACTTTCAGAAGTTACAATCTGTTTTGCCAGCACCTATAAAAAGAGATCTTGCTGCAGCAGTTGAGGAGATAACTATGCTTTTGTTCTTTGAAAATGGCTTGTAGGTAGGAGGAGCTCAGGTCAGGCATGCAGGGAAAACCAGCATCTGCTAAGGCTGACTGGGCATCAGGGATTCAGCTTTGCTCACCAGTGCACTTGAGGTGCACTTCGCTGCTCTAACTCGAGCAGCCTTGAAATGTGCCAACTAGATTCCTTACAAAGTTCAGCTGTTGGAGTAATGACACGTTTGGCACATGTGGGTACAACTCACTAGTGCAGACTTCATTGCATTTATGTACTCACAATAGCAGGAGAGATGACAAACATAGGTTGGTGTAAAGAAACTAGATTTTAGTTAAAAGTGAGCTAAAGCTTTTGATAAAGCTTGTAAGTTCTACTGGTACATACTGTCCGTGGAGTCAGGGAGTGGTGAGGTATTAGGATTTGTTTTCCAGTATTACTCCTTCCATCAGTAATCCACTATCACAGTTTTGATCAATAGACATGAAGAGTCGGGGATCTCGCAAATAAACAGTGAAACCAATTTAAACTCTGAAGCTTACCAAATAAACATTAAAGTATTCCCTTTAGGATCTGGGAATCTTGAATTATGCATGTACTGTAGTTTGCAGTAAGATAAAAGAACTTGAGGTGGGGGAGGGTGAGAAACTTGAAAAGCCTTAAGGAATAATTTGCATAAATCGGGTGGAGAGAGTAAACAGCACAAGGGGAGAAAAGTTATTTTCAGGAAGACCTTATAGAATGAGATAAAACGAATTTAAAAGAATCAGGTGGAGTTGAAACAAAGCTGAAGTGCTTTAAACTTGCATTAGCACCACCACTGCCTTTAAAGCAAATCCCAGGGAACTCTGTACCGCCCTGGATAAAACTCCCAAATCCTTAAGGGAGGGTTAAAAGAGGAAAAAAGCCATGGAGGCAGTGGAGCACGTGTCTTACTGCATGCAGGACCTCTGGAAGTTAAGTGAAGAGCATGAGCAGATTTTAATCTAACAGTATTTTCTTCTATCTTACAGTTACAGGACCGCACACAATTTAGTGACCGAGACTTAGCTACCCTAAAGAAATACTGGGACAATGGCATGACCAGCCTGGGCTCAGTCTGCAGAGAGAAAATTGAAGCTGTGGCCGCAGAATTAAATGTTGACTGTGAAATAGTGCGGGTAAGAAATGCAGAGTCTTCCCTTATCCTTCCAGAAGCAAAAATAGGACAGATGAAAGCCTTTAAAAATTTCATGAGGAAGCTTGAAATAGATTTCACGTATTACATAATGTATGACCATGTTGGGAAGTGCTCTCTTGCTCTTTCTGCAGTCTATATATAGAAGAAAGCCCTCAGGTAAGAGTCCTATTGATCAGCAGCAGAAGTAGCACTACAAGCTTTTGGCATTCTCTTCAGACTTGAGTAAGATTTTAAGTAAAAGTGTTACACTTTTTAGGGATAGCCTAGAAGACTAAAAGGTGCCATTTATATTGTTAAGATACAAAAAAAAAGCCTTTCTAAAGACAGAGGGAAAAATATTTGTCATTAATACTTATAGGGGGAAAATCATAGTAAATATGTGAAAGAAAATGCTCAAAAATAGGTAAAAATATTTTAGAAGACTGCCTTGATGCCAGGTTGATGTGATAGAGAGCAAAGGGTGCTGCCAGGAATTCTGGGTCACTTCAGTTTGATAGTCTGTAAAGGTATTGTTGAGGAAGCTTTAGAAAGTACAGGCTAAGTGTAGGTAACCTGATTCCTGAGAACCACTCCACATCATCTCTTCCAGAGGTTGGGAAGTTTGGTACAGCATCGGTTGTTGCCACTGTAATGCCACTCACCAGACATGCATCTGTGTGCAACTCATTTGCTCAGAGTGTTTCCATTCGTCAGAAAACAGTCAGACTCTCTTTGCAGTCAGTACAAAACCACGATTAGAGTCAGTCTTTCCCTCCTAACAGGCATGACAGTTGTGACTGTCCTTTGAGTCTTCATCCTCTTTTGCCACCCTTCCTAGAATTCTGACATTGCTACAGACATGGAACCAGGAGCCCTTATTTGAAACTCTGCTTTTGTGGAGATCTGTCTTAGCGTTGATATATCAAAGTGGTACCAAAGCTGCTTTCAGTACTGAACACTAACCTGGTTATTTGCTTGCTTGTTTTCCTGAGCACATGTGAGCTATAAAAAGTTAAATGGTACTTTTGGAGGCTGGAAAGAATTACTCTTTTCTCTGTAGAGAACAAAGCTGCTTCATATTTTCCAGGCTTTTCAGTTTACTTTCTGAAAGGTGAAGCTGTTTCCACTGACAGCATCTCAAAACGGACTCCTGGATAAGAAATACCTTATTTGCAGAACAGTAAGACTGGTACCCATGTTTCACCTCCCTTACTTTGTTCCCTTAATAACATCCTTATTGGCACACACAGGATGACACTACAAAGTTCTCTGCACACTTTTCAATGCATCTGCTTGAAATGCTTTTGTCTTCAGGTCAGAGGCTCTCATCGACTCCTTAAGACTTTCTGGCTTAAAACTGTATTAGAACACACACGAATGAACAAAAAGATTTCTTCATAGTAACTGGTGGTGGTACTAGTATCTATCCTGCCTCTGGCTCCTCTATATGGCAGACTTGAGAATTGTAGCAAGAATCAGGTGGAGGTTGCATCATGCTGCACTAACTTTTTTGTTTGTGAGGGCTGAATTAATGCTATAGGACATGTGTGATCCTCAGTGCTTCCTCTTGACCTTTCTCTAAGGCACATTGTGCACATTCCCAGGTGTAGGACAGGTATTTTCATCATATGCTCTAGAGGATCTGCCCTAATTTTGTTTCGATATCTGTGTAGGCACATTGTATTATTCCTCTCTCCTTAACCTGCCAACCTGCATTGTCTTCAGTAGGAAACACTGATGCCTGGAGGTTAGGGTGCAGCACAGTCCTTTTTTAACTAAGGAGTCCGGGCACAGCAGTGTGTGAGTTCTAAGTCGTGAGTGAATCACGGCATCTCTACCCTATGACATGCTCAGCCAAGAAGAGTTGGACTGAGGGATGCTTCTGGAAGAAGCTCTCTATTTTCAGTACTTGTACTTTGTTGCCTTTGTATTTCACTGTACCTTGAATTCTAGGGAGTGTGCAACTAGCAACTGTTTCTCCTTTTCTGGTATAAAACCAATAAATGTGGCATATGTAAAGCAGTGTGAAGTACCTATATAAAACAAATTTAATATATATAATAAATAATGTGTACAACAAAATCTATAATATATAAATAACATAATCTTATATAAATAGATTTATATCACTTGTTTTCATTCAGTTATATACATGTCCCCATTTGTCCCTTTTAACATTTTTTAGAATGAAAATTCATGATTTTTCCAGGTAACTCTTACCATTCCAGAGGTGCAAATGATGATCCTTATGACCCATACTGGTTTGAAAGATCTCCAGTACAAAAAAGTATTTAATCTGTTTTCCAGTACAAGGAAAGATAATGTTTGCCACTATGTATAGTAGCACTGGATTTGATCTTTCAAGGTTCAACAGGGCATTTTATTCTATAGGTTTTATACTTCTAGTAGGAGAATGAACTTTCAGAATGTCTACTGGTTATACAAATGTCTTTCATATGTTCCCAAGACACCAAAGGAGGGACATAAAAAGTTATGTCATATTTAATTACATGAACTCTGGCCAATAGCTTATAAAACTTGATGTATTTCTTTTGGTTATGTTATAATTACTGCTGATTACATTTGTTTGGGTTGTGCTCTCTTTTGCTTTTTTTTTTGTAGCTACTCATTTTTGTTTATATTTTTCTTGACTAATTTTATTCATTCATACCAAAATAGCATCTGAAAGCAGAATAGCCTTCTTGGCAGCAAGACATTAGATATTTGAGAAGGAGAGATGACAGCTATCAAACTCCTCAGAAATATATAGAACATCAAGCTTTCATACATAAGAGGTCAAAAGCTATGCCTAAGCGCCCACCACAGGCTAAAGACACCTCCTCTTCACCAGCTGCTCATCAGATAAAAGCTGATTATGGAAGGTAGTGCTTCAGTCAGAGTTTAGCAGCAAAAGCAAGTAGTTTCAGCAGGAAAGCTGCTCATTCTTCACGGTTGCCTAATGGCTCTTCCTGTTGGGGCTCTAGGCCTAGTCTGGATCCACCTTATGTTGAGAGAGACATTGGAAGAACAGCTCAGAATCTTCCATCTTTATTTTTTCAGTTAAGTGGAATTTATGAAGGTTCCAACCTAGTATCTTTCTAGCACATTGACACCCTAACCTCAATATCTGGAGAGCTGTAATCATGCCTTTGAAGTGGCTCCCTGCCAGTCCACTCTACTTATGAGCTGCCTGGGGGCAGCCGTATGCTGGCTTCTTCTGCTGGACTCCAGCCTTTCTTCCTGCACTCTTGCTGGTCATCTGTTCAGTCGGAGCTGCAGAAGTTGCTGCTGATTTCATTGCTGGCTACTCTAAGTAGGCTTAATGAGTCTGATCACATGTAATTTACAGATGATGTGTGACCTTTTTAAGGAGGTAGTATTTTAGGGGTATAGTTAGAATTATTAAGCTGGTTTCCTACATAGAAATACTAGGCTGCTTTTACACTCATCATTGTACTGCTCCACAGTATTCACTGTTAAATGCAGCATACAGCATATGGAACCTTACTGCTTTTCTTTCCCATTTTAATTTGAGATACTATAAAAATGTTTGTCTTCTATGACATATTCAGTATGTTGAATGAGAGTTCTTCTGCTTTGAAAGGTATGCATCAAGCCAAGATCTGCCTTTCCCAAGTGCCTCAATTTTTTGCTGAATCTTTTAGTAAAAAAGAAGCAGATTCACTTTTAAGCTTTACAGTTGTTTGCACTATTTATTATCTCATTATTATTCTCAGAATCAGAAGATCATGAGGGAATTTAAAGAATGGCAACGCACATAGGCGTGGAAGGGGCCACTTGTGTGTGGGTTTTAATTCTTTTTTTCCCCAAACTGCATAGAATGTGCAAAAATATCCAGGTAGCTCTCTGTGTTCCTCTTTTGCATTCTTCAAAGAGGAAAATTAGGAACCTGGGAAAGCCAGGATCACCCAACAAAAATGATTTGTCAGAAATAGTGTTACACATGCCATATTTTACCTAGTGAGAGAGATTCAGCTTAAAAAGAACAGTTTTATTTTCCAGGCTGGCACAGCATGAAACTGTCTTTAGTATTTGGTATTTTTTAATTTTTCTGTTTGATAATCAAGATATTATAAGCAAAAAGGATTTTACTAAACTTTTTTATGGTGTGTATCAGAACTCTAGTTAAAGAAAGTGTGATGGGGAAGAGGAGCAATGCAGGTATTCCTGAAATAAGGCCAGAGTAATGTTTAGTGTATCTTTAAAGGAAAAAAAAACCCTATACTATTTTAATGTGTTTGGTAAACTCTGTTGGAACATAGAGTTTATGGAAAGGATGTGCACTTTGCCATGCCCTGATTGTATGTTTTCAAAACCAGGAACTGTCCATGCTCTCTAGAGGTACATTTGATCTTCAACAATACAGGAATTCCAGCACTAAGCATGATTCAGAACCTAGGAACAACTATGCTGTGGTTGTCCATCGTGCATCTATCATCATCACAGTAATCAGACACACTCTGTGTGGTGACAGCTGACATGGCCAAACTCCACCGTTCTGCATGCCAGTCCAGTGCTTGAACAGGTCCTGGAGCGATCAGGATGGTCCCACTAGTGCCATCAGCACTGTTCTTGCAGTTTAGATGATGTAGACGGGGGAGGAAAGCCAGGTCAGGATGACTGGAATTTAGTAGCTTTCAAATAATTGATTCCTGGCTTTGGGAGGGATTTTTGGATGTGACTTGGAACAAAGTACCTAGGGTGCACGTGCTGTTAAGCAGAATTGAAATTAGATGAGAAGTCAAAAGCCTGAGTAATGCAAGGGAAGGGAAGGGGTTAGGAGGTGACGAGTTGCAGACAGTTTTTGCTACATCATGTGAAACTCAAAAATTATTAAAGACTCTACTTTAGACTTGCCTTTATCAGGGAAGTCACATTAACAGTTAAACAGATCCACGTGGAGAATTTTGAACGTGACTTTTGGTTTGATGTTTTGTTTTTTGTTTCAGTTTTTCTTTTTTTTTGAAACTCAGTTTTACTTAAAGCCTCCAAACCCATCCCATCATGAATGAGTTTCCAGGTTCCTTGGTCCTGGACCCGTTTCATCTCTCACTACTATTTATAAGTATGCTTTTAGATACCTTACTGCAAGCAGTGTTTCTTAAAGACTTGTTTTACAGCCAAAGAGGATTGAAGAACAATATTGCTGTGAACTTAATTCTGCTAAGTTACGTTCTGTCAGCAAAGTGGAGTGATGTAGAGCTATCACCTTGGATGATTTCTTCTGTGCTGTAGGAAATCTAGAATGGGTGGACCGTTTGGGTGATTGGATGCTTTGGTCCCCTTACGGAAGCTGCAGAGTGAGAGAACCTTAGGTTAAAATTATTCAGTAATTTAGGTGGGGAGAATCCTTACAGGGTCACTAATGCTACTCTATTTAGAGCAGGATTGACATCAGAGTTCAGTCAGCAGTTCAGTTCTCAGCAGTAAAATGTTAAGTACCTCCAAGGCTGGAGGTGCCAGGATTGCTATGGACGAACTATTCGAATGTCTCACTGTAAAGCCTTATGTTTTATTTTTCCTTAATTCCAGTCAGAGCTTCCCTTGCTGTGTTGTTTCTTTTCCTTTTGCTGTGCACCTCCCCTTCTCCCTTGTATTGGAGGTCTGAACCTGGACACAGTATTCCATGAGGGTCAGATACAGGCAAACAGTCACCTCCCTTGAATTGCTGGCTACAGTTTTGTAGTTTAGATGTGCTGATGTCACTTGGATATGGGCCTGTTGTTTTTGTTATAGTTTCTGATATCATTCATGTTTATTTCTCTTACAAGACTTGGATTGGGAATCGAAGACGGAAATATCGTTTAATGGGGATTGAGGTCCCACCCCCTAGAGGAGGTCCTGCTGATTTCTCTGATCAGTCTGAATTTGTTTCTAAATCAGCACTTAATCCAGGAGAGGAAACTGCTACTGAAGTGGGGGATGATAATGATAGGAATGATGAAGTATCAATCTGCTTATCTGAAGGAAGCTCACAAGGTATTTGAAAATGCAGTTACTACTGTGCATATATTTTTAATGTTGTGCAGTGTGCATGCTGTGGATTCTATGTTGTACACATTCAAAAACGTCTTGAGTGTCTAACAGTCACAAGTTACCTGCCTTGGCTATACTGAAGGTACTGTTTGGTCTCTTTACCTCTATGTGAATTCTGTTGGGTTTGCTATCACAAAGCTTGCAGAAACCTTTTATAAGACCTCTGTTTCTGCCAAATTCATGTGAAGTTAAATGGCAAGTTCACAATTTGCTGCTACAGCTGAAAGATGGACAGAGAGTGTAAATGTACGCAATTCACTTTCCTAGGAAGCCAGGTTTTAAAACATGCTCTTTGGTAGTGGGCCGGTTCTACACAGCCAGCTTGACCGTGCATTCCTGTGAGCCTGAATTGCACCAGCCATTCTCATCCAAACAAGCACTAATGCCTGCAAACCTGCTTGCTTTGGGCTGACCAGAGCTATGTACTTAGTTTTCCTGATATTAAACTCGGCACTGATGAGAGGCATTCAGAAGATACATGAGCTCAGAGCTGCTCTTGAACTAAAAGCTTCACTGTATGTCAGAGCAGAGCAGAACTGACACCATTAAGCTGTCTGCCTGCATGTATGGTCTCTGCCAAGCAAATACAAACCAGCAGAAAAGATCAAAGTCAGTAGCAGGGGACTGCTCAGAAAGCCTTAGAACTGCACGTACGGGGGCTCTCTGTGTTCTCAGTAAATTGCATGATCTTGAGTGATAAGTGTCTCGAACTTAATTCCCTTTTACTCCACCTCCCAGAACCACATGACCACATTAAATGGATCTCTCCCTTTCCCTTTTGTACATGAGCTCTCTGGGCCTCCTAGGGTAGATGAGCTCCCGCTCAGCACATGCACTAGCTTCACAAGCTCAACTAATTGCTCCCAGTGCTTCTGATTAGAAGAGATCAATAAAGCCTTTGCTCTCTAAACTAAAAGAAGGTCTGATCTAGTGCATGCTATTGCAGCTTAATATGCCAGACTTAATCTTGTCACTTTGTCAGAGCAATTTAAAGGAAAGAACTAGAAAAATATAAGAACTGCTGGGAATGAATTTGTGATAGCTTTTGTCATAGTCTGCTCTAAAGAGAATAAGATGATTAAGAAATGGGTCAAGTGATTGAAAGCCAAGTGAGATGCAGAATCTGAGTCCTTGAGTTGCCTGAGGTGTGGAAGGAACTGATTTAGTCAGATCTACTTGAAAGAAAATGGTGACAGGGGAAGAGTCTGTATTCTCTGTAGTTTAACTTGAGGAATAACACCCCATTTATCAAACAAGGCTTTCATAAAACAAGGTAAGGCTGTGAGTAGATTATTAGAGCCAGAGCTTAAGGAAGTACAAGGAAACCACAGGATTTACACAGTATCCAGGAATCCCACTTTCATTCCTTTATTCTACCACCAAAACTATTTCTGTTCATTTCTCCAAAGGTATAGGTTTCACTGCTGCAGCTCAGCTTATTTTGAACTTTCTGGAAAATAGTTCTACCAGGAATCGTGTACTGTTCAGTCACAGATCTGTGATTGTGTTCATGGTTGAGAGCTGTAACTTTTGGTCCCAGTTTACTAAAGAAAAAGAAAAACAAAACTACAACAAAAAACCCCACTCTCAAAGACAAGAAAAAGGTATTTTTAGTCATGTAATTAGAGTGAAAGTGTTGCTGGCGCTTGCTTTTAAAATGTAGTGTGTAAATATAAAAACAAGAAGCAGTAATCTGATGCAGAATGCAGCATTGAAGTTCTCATAATGCCTTCCTTTTTTAATGTGTGTTAATTGAGTCCATACTTTGTGTAAATGAACATGGCTCTGTGGAAGCCGTTACAGCTGTGCCAGTTTATATTAGCTGAGGATGAATATTTAAAGAGTTGAAAGTGCTGTAGGGAGTCACTTCATTCAACTGTTGGGTCCAAGTGGTGGCTGTCAGGGTTACTGAGTGCCTGGTGCTTTAGAATGTGTCAGAGACCCTGAGGGGCACCTTCAGTGACCTTCACTCTTCCGAGTGGGATGATAGTATTCTATATTGCTCCGTGCCTACAGCTCTCCCATTTGGACCCATTTGCTTTTGCTGCTAGCAGAAATCTTCCTCTGAAATTGTGACCAGTGACAGATTAAATTTATTTGCAACAACTTCAGATGAGATTTGCTCAGGTTTGAGATATTTAACGGGCAGAAAACTTCTTTAAAACAAGTAACTGTCTGTGTTAATGGTCTGGCCTAAATACTCTCCTGCCTTTGCAAGTGTTGGTAATCTCCAGATAAATCCTGTTACCCCTGTGTTTGTGTAGAAGTGATACACCCCTGCATCATAATCTGCCCTCTTTCAGTAACCCATCTGAACACTTGCTGCCCCTTCACTCACCATGCCTCTTTTCCTCTCTAGATGTGATAGCTGGACTGTTTGACCCTTCTTGTGCAAGATCTGCCCTTTGTAGAACTGTCTAACTTTACTAGCACTTGGAATGAGTTTATTTCCAATTAATAGCCTTACTATTAATGACATAATTTAAGATTTTATCACAGCTGTCTTACCTCTGTGTTTTATTTCCTGATTTGCTGTTTTATCACCCATTTTCTTCTTAACATAATGTGGAGAATTAAAGGAAATCTGAGAAACATAATCATAGGGATGAATAGGCTGTGAATCTTTGTTCACTTTGGCCGTAGTTAGGGCTAATAGAATCATCTAGTCCTTGTGGCTGAAATCTAACGGTAAGATTTGCTCTGTTTTCAGGTGTGTTCTTTGCTTATACAGAAGATAGCAGAGTAGGTTCACCAGGAATAAGTATTTGCCATATAAGAATCAAATAATCTTTGATCAGTTTTTGGTTCTAGACTAGTAAGTGTCTGCAAGGAGGAGATGGGATTCTGTTGTGTATCCTATAATTCCAGGGCATGTAGGACTTTTTGTATAGTAATTAAGGAAAAAAAATTCTGTGCACCTCTGATGTGGAACTCTTCATCACTTCAATTTTCCAACCTGAATCTAAAAATAGGAAAGATTTTGATGCATTGCAAGAGAGTAACTTACAGTTTTCCTGTTGCTTCAGGTAACAATTGGCCTTACGTTGCCCTGAAATACTTGTGATATTTTGTCTTGTCTAATAAGACATACAGTATTTTTTTATGGATAGATGCTTCTGTATCTAATGTGACAGAGGTGACATTTATTTGGTGGTAAATTATTGAAGGAACAAATTATTGTTCCTTCAGCATGAAATCTGAAAAAAACCTAATTTGTTTCTGCAGAAGAGACAAATGAAGCTCTTCAGAATGAAGAAATCGGTCACAAAGATGATGACCAGAATCCCGTATCTACTGATAATGTGGTATGTACACCTTTCCTTTTCCACTTATGTGACCTCCTTAATTGCCAACGTTGAGGTTGTTGTCCAACACTAGTGTTTTTTCACTAGGTGAAAGCTTCAGTTCAGTGTACTAAGAGTCGTCCTAACTGGTAGAGCACTAAAAGAAACTGTACTAAAGGTACTAAAACACTGAGCTGTGCATGTACAGTATAAATGGAATTGCATGGCTTTCTCTGTATTATAACAACCTGGTGTTCTTTTTCTGGAATGCAAAGCACAATGCTTGGTTAGTGCTTCTTAAATCCCCAGAGCAGTAAAACAGTAAGAATAAAATCCCCAGAGTAATAATGGACAATGGTGGTTGGTAGGGTTAAGAAAGTCGGATACCACTAGCGCTTCTCTCCATAGCTAACCTCGAATACATGAGATCAGACTGGGGTGGGTATGTACTCTTCATTCCCATGCCCTTCACAAGGCATTATTTAGATGTTTCTTGTTTTCTCACTTGCATTCACACTGAGTTACACACAGTTGTTCTTGCCGTTTTTTAATTGACTGCAGTGAGACAAGGAAGGAAAGACAGAGGGAGGAGTCATGGCAAATAATGCAATATATCCCCTTTGTTTAGCCTGCCTTCTCTCAAATTAGAAGAAAGGAGAGGAGGAAGAGGAGAGAAGACCCTGAGTGGTAGGGTAATTTTTATCTTAAAAGTTATCTGCAGAATGAACAGGTGATGGTTCCAGTTCCCAGTTGCACTCTTCTTGCAGTCAGAGGTTAGAAGATGGTAGCTCAGAACATGACAAGAAAGTTTGTGTTACATTAATCACACACACCTGAAATGGGAAAGCGAGCAGGAGATTCCCTTCCCTCTGTATATAGGGAAGGGAGAGAAAATTTCCTCTCTTTTGTTAATATGTGATCATCTTTTGTGTAAACTGAAATGCTATGGCTGTATTTTCTGTGGTTACCTGAATAGAAACAGCTGCCTTTTTCCTTTCTGTTTACCTTAATGGCCTGCTGTGACCTTAGATATAATCACTCTTGAGTTTCAGTCTGATGCATTCACCATGGATATGCAGAATGTAAAGTGACAAAGTATAAGGTTTGCAAAGATGATGTCCAAGAGACTGAGCTCGCCAGTTTCCTGAACTCCAGCATTTTATCATTGGAAATGCATGGGGGAAATAGGGGAAGCTTTTTCATACTCTGTTCTGAAAACACTCTAACAAATTTTTTTCAATCTCTGCAGCTAAAATTGGACTAACATACATTGGACTTGCATGAGAGAGACAGTTTTCTTATTTGAAATTCTAATCTGTTCTTTCCCCTACTATCTTACAATGTATAATTATAAGTAAGATCGTGTGAATGTTTGGCATTTATTTAGACACTCTTTCCTCAAGCTGAGCCTGAAAACAAAAATATTTGAGTCACAGTGTTACTCAGGGTATGATATAGCAGCAGATCTTTGTGACATTAAGCCTTTGAAATGTTATCGCTTCAGCTGGGTTGTCAGACACTGAAGCACACAAAATGTGGTTTACCCTCCCTGTCTTCAACACAAGCTTGAAAGCTTAGTGGGTACTACTAGTGAGAGAATGCTAACCTTTCTTGGAGGGTTCTCCTTGGTGATTAAAGTTCTGATGCCTGGTCTGCAGGCTGACAAAACGCACACACAGGCTGCAGGGAAGAAACCTCCTCTAAAATAACACCTCAAGAACTAACCACTGAAGTGTGATGTGTCAGTGTGGACCCTTACCTACATTGTCTTGTGTACTAAAAACACAGTAAAATTGCTTTGACTTATTATATGAAGTCTCATAAATAGTTACAACAGCCAGAACGATGAAAAATGGTTAAAAAAACCCAAACCTTTCTTAGACTACTACTGCTTCCCTCTCCAAAACATGGAGAATTTTTTTGGGGTGCAGTGGGGCTATTTTGGGATACAGGGTGTATTTTGGGGCTCAATGGGGCGATTTTGCACTCCTGACCCCCCCCCTTTTGCCACCCCCCAGGCTTCCCCATGTGGCTCTGGGGGGGTTCCCCTGTCCTGGGGTGTCTCCACTGCCCCCCCCCATGGCGGCAGCCTCTCCTGGCAGCGTCATCATCTTGGTTATAGGTTATAGTTCCATCCAGGCAGTCATCCTTCTGAGTTCTGTTGAAAAGTGCCATTCTTACCACTCTGTAATTCAAATTCATTCTCTGTGTTTGAGACCTAGCCTAGATATGAATAAAAATCTCATTGATGCACTGAAAATGTGCACATTTTGTTTTTTCTCCTATTGACATAACCTTTTAACATCATTTTCTTACATAAGGACGTTTTCTGTTGGGACAGAACATGCGAGTGGTAAACAATGTAAAAGTAAATGAAGTATGACTGGAATGTATTTCTAAGTTCTAAACAGCATTAAGCATTAAGCTTGGCCTTTAACATTATACTTCAGGTATCTTTAGAAGCCCAGTATAAAAACCTCCCAAGAATTTTTGTGAGTTAAGTGAAAATGTCCGTGTGTATGCATTTGGAGCTGTCCTTTGTATCAAAACCCTCTACTGTTCAGGGCATTTGACTTGCACTGTGGCCAAAGAAGGCCAAAGGAGACCTTTGTTTTTCAGGCAAGAAGTAGGTCAGTTAGGGCTTGCCTGTCACTTGCCATAATGTCTGTTTTGCTCCAGAGGAATAAACTTCCATAACCTCCTTTGCCTTGCAGGAGGTCTTCAACAAAAGGCTTACAGAATAAAATGCAGGCTTGTGCAGGCTGTAATGAGATATTATATGCAACTTAATGCCAAAAGCATGGTGACATACAGCTCCTCCTTTGCAAACAGCCAGAGTCACCAGGGCAGCCACTCTGACTACCAGCAGTTTCAGTTTGGGTTCTCCCTGGATCTTGTGGCTGAGGTGCATGATTGCCATCTAATGGGGGCTGCACAATTCAGAGTTTCTCAGGTGCAGACAAAAGGTGCTGTTACCTTCATCCTTTCATGCTGTTTGTGATACAGGTTGCTGTTTGTTTGTCTGATCTCTGCATTTGAATATTTGGAATGAGCCCTTTACTTCTCTTTCAGAAAATAGAAATTATAGACGATGAAGAAAGTGATATGATAAGTAATTCTGAAGTGGATCAAATGAGTTCTCTTTTGGATTACAAGGTGAGTAATTGGCTGTATAATATTAAGCAGGATAGTCCACAGAAAGTTCTAGATGGCTGTATCTGTAAGGAATTTGGGAAAGGCATGTGGGAGCCTGCAGCTCCTCTGCTTTTATCATGGCGCTGCACATATTACATCTCCTCATCCCATTTACGGACAGATTACCCATATTTCAACCCAGAGGGAGGCAGGAAAAATGAGATGTCTGCAGAGCAGTTACATCAGTTCCTCTGTAGCCAGCTGCAGCTCCCACCACATGTCCCAAGTGAAGTACTTCATTTAGCCTCTAAACCAAAACTTTTCTTTTTGTGCAAGGATTGTTCCTTGGAGTGCTGTGGCACGCTTCTACATGCAGCGTGATACTGTCAGCTCCAGAAAGGGACATAACAGCTGGAATCCTCTAATGAAATGGGGGGATCTAAGCAGAAGTCATTCTCACAGTGCAGTGCAGAACATGTCTGAACGCAGGAGTTGTGGGAAGGAGGAAAAGCAGTTGGATACCTGGCAAGCTGCTGTCATCTGCCAAATGGGAAAAGTTATGCATGCGTTCCTGCTATCCTAAGAGTTACTGCGGTGGTCTGTGTTGTGTATTGGTGGTGGTTTTACTGATGTAGCTGGCTTTTTAACCTCAAAACCAGGCATGTTCTACTAGTGATAATCAATTCCAAAGTAATAAATAGATCATCTTTTCAGAACAAAAGTCCTCCTTCAAACAGTGTTTTCCTGGTAAGGGCAGTGGGGAATGAATATGGAGAGGGAATGACCTTTTCTTAATGTCACCTGTCACCACTGTGAAAGGCTCGTTGTGACAGTATGCCCTACAGAACCTTGTTTGTCGGTTTGTTGTTTGACATTAGTGATTGGTCTTTGTGCCTGTGTTTTCTGTGTAAATCTGAATCCCTTCTTTGGCTGGGCAAAATCCATTGCTAAATAGGCAGCTCGGAAGTTTCCATCAGAAAGAAATGCATTCAGCTGATTTTCTTCTGAAAGCCTCATAATTGCAGCCTCATTAGAGCCATTATAACCTGAAACAGTATGGTGAGCAGTGTGTTGACTGAAGAAATGTGACTTTTCTGGGGCAAAAACCTCACAAAATAACAGCTCTTTTTAAAGGCTTGTAACAAACCTTGCAGTTCATCACACGGTCTCACCTTTTCATATCAACTAAAGTTGGATTACAGCCAACCTATCAAATGTAAGCATGAGTAACAGAGCATAGTTCTGTGTTTAAGAAAAGAAATACTATTTTTTCATTAAAACAGAATGTCAGCTTACAAGTCCACTATTGAAATTTGCTTTTATAATTATTTGCTGCCACCAAACCCAACCCTATTGTATGCAAACATGCCAAGCTAATTAATCATATGGTTGTATAAGCAAGGGTGGGTTCTTTCTTGCCTCTCATACCCCTGAGTAAATGTGACACTTCACACAATCTAATGGAGGATGCACATTTGGTGCTACTAATCAGAAACCTTTTGCAGAGATGCACAATGACTTTGATCTTGACAAGTGAACTGTTTATTCAGGTTATGTGATCTTTGCAAAGGTAAATAACCAGAGGGAATTAATTTTAGCTCTGCACTGATCAACAGATGTGGTGTTTTGGTCTTGCATAGCAATCAGTTGGCAGGTTTGAAGGAGAAGAGGTATTTGGAATTAAGTATTTATCAAATCTGAGGTTTTAATTCATTTTGTTATTTTTACATTAAGGCATTTGCAAGTAGAGTAACACACATTTATGCAAAGGTTGGAAAAATGCCTTTTTAGCCACAGCATGCACATTACTGCTAATTCTCAATTCCACAAATAAGTTCCTATTTATTATTATTGTTATAATTATATGTTAATGTTATATGTTACAATAACATAATAATAATATATGTTATATTATTATTATACTGAAAGATCTTGGGGAGGTTGGTGAGCTGATACATGTCAAACTCAGCTGCACCAGAGGATGCTGTATTTTAAGTTGTGGTAGCTTTGAGGAATGTTTAGGTTTGTTTCTGTGGTCTTTGTGCCAAGCCTTCTGCTGTGAAAATGGCATTTATTTGCTGTGTCTTCTCGCAGTCACCCTGCCCTTTCAAGATCACTTCTAGGAAGAGACCCGGACTTTGTTTTTCCATTTTAAAATGGAATTGGAGGTCATCCTTATGAAATAAAAAGCAGTGCTGCTTTAACAGCTTCATGTCAAACTTTGGCCCAAGTCATTAATGCTTTAATGATAATTCTGAAGTGCTTTGTCCGCGTGTAACACAGCTGACTGTCACATCTCTTGGGGAGGATGAGGAGAGATGAAATGGCATATGCATTTGCAGGCTTAGAGAGACACTGCTGGTCCTCATCAGAACATGGATTATTCTGTATTTCTGTACCTATAGAAGTTTTGGCTGTAATTAACATTGATTTGGGCAGGAATCATAATAAACACAACTTTACTCATTTTCACCAAAACCCGTTCAGTGTTAACGCAAGTTTAGGTGTCACTACAAAGATGCAGTCCATTACTTCCAGAACTTGATGTCATTGTCCCCCACAGAATGAAGAAGTCAGATTCATTGAGAATCAGTTGGAGAATCACAAACAGAAGTATTTTGAACTACAGACGTTTACTCGGAGTTTGATACTTGCTATTAAATCAGATGATAAAGAACAGCAGCAGGTAAGGCTTGAAGTAGGTTTTACTACTGGAAGGTGTTTGTCATTTTGTGTTCTGTCGCTCCTTTAGTTTTATTCTGTAGTGCCCAGAGGCTCAAATTCTGATGAGGGCAGCGTTGTGCTGAACATCCTGTAGACAAAAGCTGAACTTTAAAACAAAAGAAGGATCTTGCAATCTACGCAAGCAATGACCTAGACAAGGACGTGTGACTTTTACAAAGGGACAGACAGTGAACCAGTGTACACTGAGGGACTGGGATTTGTCTGTTGTGAGAGCTGAGATGTGAGATTTAGGGAAAAGAGCCAGGCTTCTTTGCTTGCACTGCACCACGTCTAATACACAGCACTTCCAGTGGTTGGTTGGATCATGTCTTGTATGGGTAACATTCTGGGCTTTATTTAGGAAGAGACTTTGGTGCTTTCATTTTTTTCCTTTGCCTTTAAGATACATCATCTTGGACAATGTTTTTCCCTGATAGGACAAGGGGTAACGGGTTAAAACTTAAACAGGGGAAGTTTAGATTGGATATAAGGAGGAAATTCTTTACTGTGAGGGTGGTGAGGCACTGGAATGGGTTGCCGAGGGAGGTTGTGAATGCTCCATCCCTGGCAGTGTTCAAGGCCAGGTTGGATGAGGCCTTGGGTGAGATGGTTTAGTGTGAGGTGTCCCTGCCCATGGCAGGGGGGTTGCAACTGGATGATCTTAAAAGTTCTTTCCATCCCTAACTGTTCTGTGATTCTAATACTGACCTCTTGTTTTAGCCATCCAATACCAATGCTGACTGAAAAGCTCAACAAAGTTTTCTCACTGTATATTCAGACATTTGAATGCTGACACAAAACCTCTACCTAATACTGTATTGCAATATGTTTTTACGTCCAGGCACTGCTCTCAGACTTACCTCCTGAATTAGAAGAAATGGATTTCAATCACACGTCCCCAGAGCCTGATGATACCTCATTCAGCTTGTCGTCTTTGTCGGAGAAAAATGCCTCAGACAGTTTGTGATTTATGTTGGTTTTTAACTGACAAAAAGGAAACCCCACGGAACGTGCAGGT